GTTTTCATATTATTCTTGTGTCATGTAGTTTTCTAACCCATATTATGGGTTCAAAGATCCATTATTTAAAGTCTTTTTGATTTATTTGTTTTTGATCTATAAATATTTTCTAACCCATAAAATGGGCATGACTAGAAAGATAAGCAATATAAAGTCTTTGGATTAGTTTCATTTTTCTAACCCATAAAATGGATTAGGTATAAAAGTCCATGTAAATTAATTCACTCATCTTATTATTAAAAAAAGACAAAACATATATGATGTTTTTTTACAACTACTTTATAGTTTTTTCTTTAAAGAAAAACGTGGGTGACCATGTTAGATTTTAATAATTTATAGTGTTTTTTAGACGCTATTAAAAGTACAGTTTCTTAAAATTCAATCTTCAAACTTTTGTATTTATTTATATTTTCTCGTTTAAACATTTATTAAGTCTTAAAAAACCCTTAATATATTTTGTCAATAAAAAGTTGTTCAGAGTTTAACTTATATTTATCAAATACTAATAATTTTATAAGTTATATCAACAAGTTTCAGATATAAGTTAGGATTTATGAATTACTATATATTTCAAAATTCAAATAGTGAGAATGATAATAACACGTGTTGAAGATGTTGAGTAATTGATATTAATTTTGACTTCAAACTCAATTAAAAGTAGATAATCAAGGAAAATATCTGAGTCAATTGAAGCATATTTGAAAAGAAAGAAGGTAGAAGAAGAATGTTAATATGTTATTGTTGTCTGCTGTAGGTATTATTAGAACATTCAACTGCAGCTAAACCAAATGCAGAAAAAAAGGACAGACTTTTGAAGTGAACTCTTTCTCTGGACGTAGAATTTAAATAAAGTCAACTAAGTTTTAGCACCTAAAATCACGTTGCTCCTAGTCAATTAAGCTGTTAAATTTAAAAAAAAATATAAACTTAGTATTGAAAATGAAAATAGTTAGATAGATAGCGTAAACATAAAAAGGCATTGCAGCAGTATATATGTTATTTCGTATGCATAACCCGTAAGCACTTGTTAAAATGAATTCCTTCCTTTTGATTATCCTGTTTGTTCATCTTTGTTGGGATTCTCTGAGTCTGAGTGCAGAGACAGTGTGCATTGGAAGTGAGAGAGAGACACTGATGAAGTTGAAGCATAATCTCATTGATCCTTCAAATAGACTTTCTTCTTGGAATGCTTCTCTCAATCCCAACTGCTGTCAGTGGGATGGAGTTCTCTGCAACAACGTCACATCCCACGTTGTAGAGCTTCACCTCAACACTCCATTTCCTTCTTCCTCTCTCGATGAGAACCTAATAGATGAAACTTACGAAGAAGTTTATGAAGAAGCATACAAAGAGTATAGTAGAAGGGCATTCCGTGGAGAGATAAATCCTTGTTTGGTTGATTTGAAGCATTTGAATTACTTGGATTTCAGCGGCAATCTATTTGATAGGAAGCCAATTCCTTCTTTTATTGCAACAATCACTTCCTTAACTCATCTCAACCTCTCTCATGCTGGATTCATGGGGAACATTCCTCCTCAGATTGGAAATCTATCCAATTTAGTCTACCTTGATTTCTCTTATGCTGCCAACGGAACAATTCCTCCTCAGATAGGAAATCTCTCCAACTTGCTCCACCTCGACCTCAGAGGATATTATGCTGAATATCTATTTTATGAAAATGTTGATTGGTTGTCAAGTCTTTCCAAGCTTTGTTATCTTGACTTGGGGAACATTCAGTCATTTGGAGGAGACATGGCAATTCCTTCTTTTCTTGGCTCAATGACCACTTTAATTCATTTGGACCTCTCTGATTCTGGATTTATGGGCAACATTCCTCCCCAGATTGGTAATCTTTCCAATTTGGTGTATCTAGACCTAAGTTATGTTGTCAATGGAACTATTCCCTCTCAAATTGGAAATCTTTCCAACTTGCTTTACCTTGATCTTCGAAGTGGTTATTCTCTTGGAAATGATGATTGGTTGTCAAGTCTTTCAAAACTTGAATATCTTGATTTGGGAGGTACAAACCTATCCCAATCGTTTGATTTTTCCCACATTCTGCAAGCTCTTTCTTCTTTGATGCACCTACAATTGTCAGGATGTACACTGCCTCCATACAATCAACCATCCTTTCTTAACTTCTCGACTCTCGTCACTCTTGATCTTTCCTATTTTTCAACAATTTCTTCGGTTCCAAAGTGGGTATTTGGACTGAAAAATCTGGTTTCTCTTTCTTTACATGATAACCACTTTGAAGGTCCAATTCCTTATGGACTTCAAAACCTCACACTACTTGAAAATCTTAACTTGTGTGGAAATTCATTCTCATATTCTATACCTGATTGGTTTTACAGTAGTTTTCCTAATCTAAAGATCTTGGACCTATCAAGAAACAACTTAGAAGGGACTATTTCTGATGCCCTAGGAAATGTGACTTCTCTACTTTCACTTGATCTGTCAAACAATCAACTTGAAGGTCCGATTCCAACTTCTTTTGGTTATCTATGCAACTTAAGGGTAATACATTTCTCACATCTCAAAGTCAACCAGCATATTAATGAAATTTTAGATATTCTTACTCCTTGTATTTCCCATGGACTCAGAACGCTTGATTTTCAAAGCTCTCAACTTTCAGGCAATCTTTCAGTATCACTTGGAAAACTTTCATCACTGAGATATCTTTATTTGTCCAACAATCAACTTAGTGGAAATCCATTTGAAAGTCTTGGATCACTTTTTAAATTGTCATATCTTGATATTGATTATATTATAACTGCTTTGAAGGAGTAGTCATGGAAAACCATTTCCCAAATCTTGTGAGCTTAAGTCATTTTTCTGCAGCAGGAAACAATTTGACTTTAGAAGTGGGTCCCCATTGGCATCCTACTTTTCAACTTACTTATTTGGATATGAGTTCTTGGCAGTTAGGTCGCAACTTTCCTTCATGGATTCAGTATCAAGACAAACTTGAGTATATAGCGATGTCTAACACGGCGATTTTTGATTCTATTCCTCATTGGTTTTGGAAAGCATTTTCACAAGCTGATTTTCTAAATCTCTCTCATAATCATATCCATGGTGAGCTTGGGACTACATTAAAGAATCCAATATCTATCCCAATTGTTGATCTAAGTGCAAATAACTTTTGTGGCAAACTTCCCTCAATTTCAAATCGTGTGGGTGTGTTGGACCTTTCAAGCAATTCATTCTCTAAATTCATGGACGATTTTTTATGCAAAAATCAAGAGAAGCCAATGATTTTAGAAATTCTCAATCTTGCATCGAATAACTTATCAGGGGAAATACCCGATTGTTGGGGAATTTGGCCATTTCTATCGGATGTAAATTTACAAAGCAATAATTTTGTTGGGGAAATTCCCCAATCCATTGGTTCGTTGACAGAGCTAACATCTTTACGCATCCGCAAAAGCTTGCTTTCGGGAACATTTCCTACAATTTTGAAAAAGAATAACAAGTTGATTTTGTTGGATCTTGGAGAAAATGATTTTTCAGGAAGAATTCCAAGTTGGGTTGGAGAAAGTTTTCTAGATATGAAGGTTCTTATCCTGCGGTCAAATAGATTTTATGGTCATATTCCTAATAAGATTTGTGATATGAGTCTTCTTCAAGTGTTAGACCTTGCACAAAATAATTTGACTGGAAACATACCTACTTGTTTTAATAACTTGAAGGCCATGACACAGATGAACAAGAGTACAATTCCTCTTATCTATTCTTCTATTATAAATTATTCACAGTATAATAAGGTCACCGTTCTTCTTTGGTTGAAAGGAAGAGGAGATGAGTACGGAAAAATTCTCGGGTTGGTAACAAGCATTGATTTGTCAAATAACGAATTATTAGGAGAAATACCGAGAGAAATCACAGATCTAAATGGTTTGTTATATTTGAACTTGTCTCACAACCAACTTATTGGTCACATTCCACAAAACATTGGTAACATGGAATCATTGTTGTCCATTGATTTCTCAAGGAATAAACTTTCTGGTGAAATCCCTCCAACCATTTCCAAATTGAACTTTCTAAGCAATGTAGACTTGTCTAATAATCATTTGAATGGAAAAATTCCGACAGGAACTCAGTTACAAACCTTTGATGCCTCCAAATTTGTTGGCAACAATCTCTGTGGTCCACCACTACCCGTCAATATTGCAGCTCCGATGACAAAATTCTTAGTTATGAAGGGAGTGATAGGCATGGAGTTAACTTATTTTTTGTGGGCATGACATTTGGATTTGTGATGGGATTTTGGATAGTAGTTGGTCCTTTGTTCATTTGGAGATCATGGCGTTATGCCTATTTTCATTTCCTTGATCATGTGTGGTTCAAACTTCAATACTTTTTGTAATGTCAGTACAATATCTAATGTGGTGAAAAATAAAATTATAAAACATGGAAGTTAATTTGGATTATTTATACTTGTTCAAATGTATTGTTTGATCTATTTTAATTTATAGATGGTTATAATTTAATTCTCAATAGCAAGATTCGAAGGTGTACCAGGGAGTACCGGGCGCCGTACGGAAGGATGCTCGAGTAGGCGGCCATCCACCCGTTTCGGTGCCCACGTCACCCAAAGGACTAAATGCCCGTCCGCCCAAGTGGATAGAACCTCTGTTTGTAAGAAAAACTTTGAAGAACTCACATGGAATTCTATCACCACAAGATAACCCCGCACTCTCTACACTCACAAAAGGTGTTCGTCAAGAGAAGGCCGAGAGACGAAACGTCTGGAAAGTATGTATGGCCACTGCGTCAAATCTGTACCAGAGTGCCGGGCGCCGTACAGAAGGACGCCCATGTAAATGGGCGTCCGCCCAGTTTAGTGGCCCGAGTCATCCAAAGGGCCAACGACCGCCCGCCTTCCCCGACATTGGAGGCTTGGAAGAGTACCTATTAAATAAATGTGAAGGATCGAATAGGGTAAGGCGGACGCCCATATCACGCGGGCGGACGCCCGTACCTCGTTAACCGGCCAAATGGCTAATCGTTGTGACTTAGGTAAATTAATCTGGTCTGGAGGTAAGTAGAAATTAGAAGCTATTGGGCCATTTTGGGCCGTGATTAACTTTTCACTAATCCCAAGCCCATAGCAAAAACTATAAATACAGGTCCACGGTGAGTGGTAGAGAGGTTACATTGAATGCACATTTATTGCTATCCCTGAGAAAAGCCATTGCTTTGAAACTGACTTTGGCATCGGAGAGTCTTTTGCAGGTCTCCGCCCCTCAGGATTGAGAGGAGAGCTAAGCCTTGAGGAGAGGACCCGGCACCGAAGCAAGACCACAGGAGAATTTGGAGACTTGGAGCAACACGGCCCTACACATCCGAAACATTTGGCGCCCACCGTGGGGCCGTGTGATTTCAACAACCCAATGGTGACCACGAGAAACATGAGTGTGGACGACCCCGTTGAGATGATCCGAGCCCTGCAGCAAAAAATGGACGAAATGCAACAACGTCACGAGGACGAACTGACGGCCGTAAAGGCCGATTGTGAAGCCCGGATAGCCCGGGAGGTTGGAAGGGCGGATGGAGGAGAGGAGCGAGCGAAGGATAAAGGAAAGGCGGCGGCGGAAGAACGCACGCCTCAAGACACCGAGCGTGATAGCACCTGGAGGCCTACCGGGTCTGAGGCGGAGGGAAGTAAAGTTAAATCGGTGCACGCTGAGAGCGCCGCCGAGGACGGACGAATGATAGTAAAGTCGGAACCCCCGTCCACTTTATTACTCCCATTCACCCAAAACATAATGAACGTCCAAATTTCGGAACAATTTGTGGCTCCACAATTCAAGATGTATAATGGGACGACGGACCCCGAGTCCCATATAAAGACGTTCTCAAATGCAATGGCATTCAGAACGGGCAATGACGCCATTTGGTGCCGAGCGTTCTCGCTCTCGTTGGAGGACGAAGTAGTGGAATGGTTCAACGCCCTCCCTCCCAATTCCATAGAGAACTTTGTTGGGTTGAAACAACTATTTGTCAAACAATTCGCGGCAAGTAGTGCCCAAGACTTGACTGTCTTCGAATTAATGACCCTCAAGCAAGGGAAGGATGAAACACTACGGACGTTTATGGATAGGTACCAAAAAACCGTCCGGCGCGTGAAAAGTTTGACGCCAGAACTCGCTCTCCACTATATCTTACCGGCTCTCAAACCAGGGCCGTTTAAGGATAGTGTCTGCAGGCGAGCACCCAAAACGATGGAGGAGCTGAGAGAGCGAGCGGCAGACGAAATAAGGGTGGAGGAGATGAAGCTCTCGTACAAGAGGGAAAACCAGGAGGCCAGGGGAGAAAGAGCGGACGGTGGTAAGCCCGCTACCTCGGCNTGGAAATCCATTTAAAAGTCTTGGATCACTCTCTAAATTGTCATACCTTCACATTGATGACAATCATTTTCAAGGAGTTGTCACTGAAAGTGATCTTGAAAATCTTACAAGCTTGAAAGAGTTTTATGCATCAGGAAACAATTTGACTTTAAAAGTGGGTCGCAATTGGCATCCTACTTTCAAACTTACCATTTTGGATATGAGCTCTTGGCAATTAGGTCCCAACTTTCCATTTTGGATGTATTCACAAAATGAACTTCAATATTTAGTGATGTCTAATACAGGGATTCTTGATTATATTCCCCCTTACTTCTGGGAGGCTTGTTATTCTCTTGAATATTTAAACCTCTCCAATAACTATATTCACGGTAAGATTGAAAATTCATTGTCAAATCCAATATTATTTGAGATTGTTGATCTAAGCTCAAATCACTTGCATGGAAAATTACCTTTCTTTTCTAGTAACGTTGAATGGTTAGATCTCTCGAGTAATTCATTCTCTTCCATGAATGATTTCTTATGTTGCAAGCAGATTAAGATATTTAATTTGCAAAATCTCAATCTTGCTTCGAATAACTTATCAGGAAAAATACCTGATTGTTGGATAAAGTGGCCAAATTTGAAAAATGTAAATTTACAAAGCAACCATTTTGTTGGGAACATGCCCTTGACCATGGGCTCTTTAGCTCGGTTAGAGTCTTTGAACATCCGTAACAATTCATTATCAGGAATATTTCCTATTGCTTTGAAGAAGAACAACAATTTGATATCTTTGGACATTGGAGAAAATAATCTTTCTGGAACTATTCCAACATGGATTGGACAAAAGTTGCCAAGAATTAAAATTCTTCGCCTTCGATCAAACAATTTTTCCGGTCATATTCCAAATGGCATATGTGATATGATATTTCTTCAGGATTTTGACCTTGCACAAAATAGTTTGTCTGGAAATATTCCAAATTGTTTAAACAACTTTAGTGCCATGTTGCTAAACAACAAAAGTACAGATTTAATTATCCATACTAATGACATGAGATCGGATACAATCAGTATTATCCTATGGACAAAAGGAAGGGCTTTATTGTACAATAGTATTCTTGGCTTGGTGACAAATGTTGATCTTTCTAATAATAACTTATCAGGAGAAATACCTAGAGAAATTACATATCTAGATGGTTTGATATATTTGAATTTATCTGGGAATCAATTGTCTGGACAAATTCCACCAAGTATTGGCAATATGAGATTATTAGAATCCATTGATCTATCAAGGAATCAATTATCAGGAAAAATCCCTCCAACCATATCAAACCTGAGCTTTCTGAACAACCTAGATTTGTCTCATAACCATTTAGAGGGAGAAATTCCAACAGGCACTCAAATTCAAAGCTTTGAAGCATCAGACTTTGTTGGAAATAATTTGTGTGGTCCACCCCTACCCATCAATTGCAGTTCGAACCAGCAAATTCCATATATTGACAACTCGGAAACAGAAAATGGTGGGCATGGAGTGAATTGGTTCTTCTTGAGCTTCACACTTGGATTTATTGTGGGATTTTGGATAGTTATTGCTCCTTTGTTAATTTATAGATCATGGAGGTATGCATATTTTTCCTTCCTTGATAACATGTGGTATAAAGTACAATCATATTGGTGATTGTTGATTTGTAATGTAGCACTGTTGTTTTACTTGACCTTCATCTATCTCTATATAAATGTGTGTTTTACATTTATGTCTGTGTTAACACACATGTTTTTGTATTTTCTTCATCTTAAAATGCCAACAAGATTATGTTTTTCGTGTTTCTTATTTACATTATTAGTGTTTCGTGTTTCAGTATTATTTTAATAATCTAATTGATCTTATCCTCTTCTATTTCTTTCCTCATACCATTAATAGTTCTACTAGAATAAAATGCAATACATACATTTTGTGTCTGCTATTACTTTTGGGATGCACATATCATCAATACATACGTGAAAGTTTTATTAATTATATAAAGATTATTTTAGGATATCCTATTAATTAGGTCACATTTCTTATCAAACGAATTCAGGAAAAGTTGCTTATCTTTTATAAAATTCTATAAAAAAAAATAGAGAACCTTAAGGAAGTTCTTGAAAAAAATCAAAAACAAAAAAGTTTTGAAAAAAAAATCAAACCTTAAGGAAGTTAATCCTCCTGACAAATTTTTGGAATGAAGAAAATGTTTTGATTGGGACCGGTAATGTTCATCATATGCTTTTAATTAGGGTATCTCTTATGATGTGGTCTAATCCCTATTTCAAATAAAATTTCTGAATGAAATTTTTTTTTTTGTCAAGACCAGTAATGGTGGTTAGATGCTTTGGTTATAGACTATCTTATGGTAGTGGCCTAATCCCTTTTCAATGAGATAATGATTATGATCAGGACCCTCTCCAAAGGAATGGTCACTGATTTCTTGGTATTGGCTCTCTGTTAAGCAATAGTCAATTTCGGATTTTCCTTTTGGATGTCGATCCTCTGCTAAGTAATGATTGAATCCTAGTGACCTTTTCAAGTCCAGTTTTGTTTGACATTGTTATTGGTATTTCGGTCCTTTGCAAAGTATTGGTCGAACTCAATTTTCCTTTGAGATATCGGCTCTCTGCAAAGCATTGGTCGAAATCAAATCATTAGTGTCTTGGCCCTCTGCAAAGCATTGGTCAAGCCCAATTCTTTTAAATTCTGTCATTGGTATCTCGACCCTCTGCAAAGCATTAGTCAAGTCCAATCCTTTTCTTTGAGATGTCGACCCTCTGCAAAGCATTGGTCGAACTCAAATCATTGGTATTTCGGCCCTCTGCAAAGCATTGGTCGAACCCAATTTTTCTTTGAGATATCGGCCCTTCGCAAAGCATTGGTTGAACTCAAATCATTGGTGTCTTGGCCCTCTGCAAAGCATTGGTCAAGCCTAATTTTTTAAATTTTTTCATTGGTGTCTCAACCCTCTGCAAAGCATTAGTCGAGTCAAATCCTTTCTTTAAAATGTTGACCCTCTACAAAGCATTGGTCAAATCCATGTTCTTCTTTACATACCCTCCACGAGGTTTGCATACCTCAATTCCTTCCTCTTGTATATTTTAATTTATTGTTGTTTATTTGTTTACTTTGTTTGTTTTGAAACCCGAACAAAATTAGTATTTCTATCTTTACTTATCTTTTACTAAGATAATATGCAAATGATAAATTTTTTTATCATCTAGTAAAATCTAAGTAAAGAGAGACAGCTGTCAAGACTCAATTTTATCCGGATAAATTAAATTCATAAAAAAATAAAAAAAAATACTATTTGTTTTATATTTGCACCCCCAAATTAACTTTTAAGCCCTTAGCTCAATGACCCAAAATAATTCTACATTTTTTTACTTCCTCACCATTTTTTTTCTTATGACACCCACTCTCCACATCACCTTCCACATCACCCTCCACATCACCTTCCACATAACATACATTTTTCATTTACTATTACATTTTTTATATATTTATTTTTATTTAATTTTTTTTCTAACTTTTCTAATTTTTCCACTTACCTTTCTTTATTATATTTTATTTCACCTTATTTTTCCACCCAGTTTTTATATTATTTCTTTCAGTTCTTTTTCACATTAACTTTTACTATTTATTATATTTTATTTCACCTACTTTCTCCACCAACTTTTTATATTATTTCTTTCACTTATTTTCTACATTAACTTTTGTTATTTACTATATTTTATTTCACCTACTTTCTCCACCAACTTTTTATATTATTTCTTTCACTTATTTTCCACATTAACTTTTACTATTTACTATATTTTATTTCACCTACTTTCTCCACCTACTTTTTATATTATTTCTTTCACTTATTTTCCACATTAAATTTTACTATTCACTATATTTTATTTCACCTACTTTCTCCATTCACTTTTTATATTATTTCTTTCACATAATTTCCACATTAACTTTTACTATATTTTATTTCACCTAATTTCTCCACCAATTTTTTATATTATTTCTTTTACTTATTTTCAACCTTAACTTTTTCTATTTTTCCACTCATTTTTTAAAAAATTATATTTTATTTAACATTTTCTCCATCCTTAATTCTATAAATATTCATCCATTCTTCACTCCATTTTTACACACAATTACATAATATTCATCTCTTCTCTCTCAAAACTTCTTCATTCCATCCCAAAACTTTACTTCATTTTTCTCTCATATTTTACTATTTCCTAATTCCTCTATACATATTAAATCACATACCACATTTCTACTAGAGGTCATCTTCTTCAGATTCTATCTACCTCTTCTCACAATTTATTACAAGTAAAGTTTTGCTTTATCATTTAAATCTTCAACAAGGTACACATATTTTTCTCATTTTATTTATATATGCATTTTGATCATCTTTTTAGTTTATAAATTTATCTTGTTTTCTACCACAATTTTATCTTATGCTTTTTCACGTTTTTAATTCATAAATATTTCAACTCATCTCTCTTTCTTAATAAAAAGCAAAATAAAAAATGACAAAAATATATAAAACTTTAAAAAATATATAATAATATAAATAACAGTATGAATACTCGTGCGATCGTATGCATCAGCCTAGTACTCATTACCCAAAATATAAAAATAAACAATAAAATCATATGAGTGCTCGTGCGATTGTACGCATCAGCGCTCACTACGCAAAACAATAACTTAAACTAAAAAAAATTGTATAAGTACTCATGCGATCGCAGCCTAGTGCTCATTACACAAAACAATAAAATAAACTAAAATTTTTTGTGAATACTCATCGTACGCATCAATCTATTGTTCATTAAGCAAAACTCTAAATATTATATCAAAATACCAAAAAAATGTAAAATCTCCAAAAAGCTAAAAATATCAAATTCTCATGCATTTAATTTGAGTCAGAACTACGTGATCCTTGATTCTCCATCAAAAGTAGAAATCCAAAATAATCTCCCAAACAATTTCACAAATCAATTTCCTAAACATCTTTCCAAACTTATTTTCAAAAGAACTACATACCCCTAATTTTTCACATAAGAATACGTAAGAACAAGGTCAATCCTTGTCGAGCTTCCTAAAAGTAAAAAATATTTTACTTTCATTTGAATTGTGTTGCATTGTTATTTTAAAGGAAAAATGACATTTTGAAAACCACATCATCTTTGCACATTTAATTAAAGGTACTGCTTTTGGGCAAGCGCTGTAGGGTGCTAATACCTTCCCTACGCGTAACCGACTCTCGCATCCATAATCTCTTGTTTCGTAGACCATGTCTTTATTTTATGGTTTTTTCGTAGTTTTCCAGAATAAACTATGGTGGCAACTCCAAACTCTAATTTTTAAACCAATATTATTTTTAAGAGTCTCGCCGTCTTCCTGGTTGTGACACCAGTCCTCAAGTTAATCTTTGAAACTGGTTTCTTTAACAATGCTTCCGCAACTTGGACATGGCCATTTAAAGTATCGTCCTACAAAATTTGAATATAAAGAATTCAACTCATGAGTTTTCATTTGCAATGACGAGAATCATTGTAGACGTTTATATATGTTTTGAAAGAACCTGGATTCGGAGATAGTTTTCTTTAGCATTGCATGCTTGGAAAACGGACGAGATGTGGAAATCTACCATGTCAGAACTAGCATGACTAAAGACATCGAACGCGGAGGCCAAGTGTTTCTTCCGTCCTTCGTCTCCAGAATTAATTATAGATTAATGCTCATGATGACTCCTAGTAAGGGTTTAGACAATATACATAATGCTAAGCAAAAAATCATTTTGCAGCTAGGTTTCTGAAAAATATTAACTGGATCAGACTAGCATGCAGTAGTACAAAAAGGGTTGTGCGATGGCATTACGACCAAATAAACCATACCACACATGTTGTTAGGACCAAATGTCAATGTTTCGACAGAAGATTTCACTTGTGTTTTACATTCAGAACCCCACTCAACAAATGGTATAGCTTCATTTATGTGATATCCACTAGTCCAGGTAACTGTCATCTGCATAAGACAGGCCGAATAATTATGAAATCACTTCGTAGTCGTAATAGTGTTTCCAGAGTGTGAAAGAAAAGAAACTAACATCAATTCCTATTTCCATAACATCATGTCAAATTACCAATTTTAATGAGTTCATTCATCATTCGAGTGTTGTGCTCAAAATCTATTAAATCTATACATGTTGGATACTGAAGCAAAGCCATAATAGGAGAAATCATATGAAAGATAAACTTACTTCATCCCAAGACTTCCCTTGAGCAAGTCATGGATATAGAGGCACCTTAGGATTGACAAATAGCTTAGGCTGCATTGTTCAATCAGATGACTCCAAGTCAGCCAAGAAATCATATACATTTAGTAAGAATAGGAGGGAGATAACAGGTTAAAGTAGCTGTCTCATCTACTTGCTTTACTCATAACCCTTCCCAAATTTCAAAAGAAAGTTTCTAATGTTACTACCTTCTTTGTATGGTCTAGAAAATGTTCAACATGTGTTATTTGCCCAGTTTTGTTAGTTGTCATCTCTAGTAGCTTTTAGATTAGTAGTAAACTTGGCATACTATGTATCTATCCATTGTCTTTCATCTCATAGACAATAATACTAACCTTGTTGAAATTGAAGATTGATCTTTATAGTACACTAACAAAACATCTATAAGCTAAAATAAAGTTAGAATGTTATTCTGCAAAATAAATTGCTGCTACTCATATGAGCTATTTCAGAAATTAGCAAACCTCAATTAAAGTATGTTAAACATGTTTTTTTAGAAGAATTCCTTGCTTTATCCTCTACCTCTACCCTTATAATAAGCTCTGGCTAGAACTACCAATGTTTTGGTACAAGACAAAACATGTTCACTAAATCATTACCACAATTATAAGTAGTAACAAGCCATGAATATATCACCAAGTATCACCTTTCATCTGAAATTGTAATGGAAATGCTCATGGAGGAATGGTTCCAGGACATTAAACCTTTTAACAACATGATCCTCCATAGTTGCTGAAAAAAATGTCTCCTTACAAAGGGGGAGAGAGGTCTGAAAAGCTTTTGCTGCCAAGCTGCGAGTTACCTGTCAGGTGGTGTATGTATATCAGAAGACAAACATGGGAAAAGTCACATTCTTTAGATAATTAAGTTCAAATACCTTGAAGACAGTAATTGGCTTGGATAAGATATATCGCCAGACTATTCCACTAATAAAATTGACGAAGAAATATTAACCTGTGCGGTCACAATTAAAAGGTTCATCTTTCTCTCTTAAAGAATAGCAATAACATAATTGGGATTTTAGTTACCTATTACAAGAAGGAGGTACAGAAGGAGGTACAGAGCAAACAAGGCTAGCTCCTTTAAGCTTTGGGAATAAATCTTTTATTTATAGGATCAAGCTCAAATGAATTAGCACAATGAGCCAAAAATGAAAATTTGGTATGGACAATGCACCAATGCCTGAAGTTATCACCCAACTCATCTGCATTGCAATAAATTGGTCAGGTAACATTTATCTTTGATAAAAAAAGTCAAGCTCACTTAATTTTACATATATAAAACAAAATATAATAAAACTTAAAATAAACATAAGTATTCTTACTTGCATAAATAAAATATTATAAAAATGCCTAAATAAGAATTTTATCTATATTAATGAAATTATTTAAAACTCAAATTAATAAATAGTTAACTGTAATATAACCTTTGAGTGAAGAACGAGCTTCTCAACATCCCTTATGTATGAAATGATGGAACTAGTTTCTGTGATAGAAACTAAAAGCTAAAAAAATGAAAACGATCTTGTTATTAGAGTGAAAACTCTTATGTAATGAAAATTCTGATATCTGAAACTCGTCTTATGTAAGTGTTGCCTACAAAAGTTGTCACTAGACACAATTCAAAAATGAACTTTCAGTAATTATACAAAAGTTGTCACTGGAAGTGTTGGATCACCCTGGGAAGTAGTCCTACTAAGCTTTGGAGGATTAAAACTTTCAACAGCACTACTTTCAAGTCTTCAACTACCAAACTCTATCTAAAAAAGGTAATTATAGAATAAAACAATTCATACTTTAATCATTGAATTTTATTTCCTAAGTACCTCTTGTTTCTCCTTGTGAAGAAATCATTGAAAAAGAACCAAACAAACCAAACATTCGCTCCAAGGTTGCCTTGAATATTGACCTTTTCAAAGACTACGGAAACAAAAGCAAATAAGTCAAGAAAATATCACTATGAATTAAAAGAGTACATAAATATAAAATGAAGCTAGCAAGTTGCAATCTCATCATGTTAAGAATGACAGAGAACTAAGCAAGGTGAACTCACCGGTATCTTTCGAGAATATCCAAATTTATTCTGCAACAGTTCAAGGGAAAAACATATAAAGTAAGAATATATGTAAATGACCCACTATAGCAAATAAAATGAGAAGCAATGAAAAATTACCTTCATAGAGAAATCATTAATATCTAACAACGGCAACTTTGATTCAAAGTAATGAGCTAAGCAAACACCACCAAACCACCATATGCATCTTTGAAGTGAGTAATATCTAACAAAACTTAATAAGCTTACACCTTACAACACCGTCGAGGAGGTAAACCAAGTGTTAACACCGTCGTGGAGGCCGTGAAGAAGGAGGTGGATCCGATCAACGACTGATTCCACCTTGTGCGACTCACTCCCAAACTCCTCAAAAACGCCAATCGCAACATTAGCGAGCTCTAGGTTTTTGGAATTAGGGATTTGAAACAGGGAAAGACAAGGGAATTAGGGATTGCGAAGTGACGAAGGATTGTGAGGATGGAGAAGCCGAGACGCGAAGGCTGTGAAGATGGAAACGACAAGACACAAAGGTTGGGAAGATGGAAATGGCGACACGTGCGAATCACAAGCTCCTCAAAATCGCCATTGGAGAGCTCCTAAAAAATGTCAATCGCAAGGTCGGTGAGCTCCTAATGCTTGGGTTTTCGGAATTGGGGATTTGGAGAGGAGAAGGCTGAGGATTGCGAAGGATTGTAAAGATGGAGAAGTGGAGACGCGAAAGATGAAGATGAAGAAGTGGATACGCGAAGGTGAAGATGGAAATGACGAGTGGAAAACAAAGGTCTGGAAGCGCGACTTTGGGTGGCAAGTATTTTGAAAAGTATATTTTGTACAGTTCCGATACTTTAATAAAGAAACTCCTAAAAATATATTTTAGGAAAAAAAAATAAACTTAGTTGCGGTATTTTTTTAACCGTCGAGAAATTATGATAAAAAAATTAAAAAAGAACTTGACTGTTGTTATGTTTTAAAACCGTCCACAGTTAGGAGAGGATTTTAAATCCCTAAACAAACCTCTACTATATTGTTTTATTGTTTTATTTTTGTAGTGTGTATATGAAAACAATACTTTGAACTGCGTAATTCGGAGTTAAAAAAGAAAATATCAAATTGTATATGATTCAAAAGCCATTCTCATACTAAGTAGTACGATTCACTTTTTTTTTATTATGTAATACTAACGTAAATTTGACTTTTTAATTCATTTATATACTTTGGTTTCGAAAAAAAAACAAGACAATAAGGATGTGGTGACAATTTTTAAAATTTTGCGAATTTATAAAGTTCAATTCGAGTGACCAAAGCCATATTTTCTTTTGGCTTGGTTACTAAGAACGGACGTCAAAAGGTAAACGAAATTTTCAATTCTTTTTTTATTATTTTACTTAAAAGATAAGATTTGGTTTCGGTTCTCAAACAATCGAAGTTATATATCTTTTTTTATTTCGGTTCCAAAACAATTGAGATCAAAGATGTATAAAGATTTTTAAAATTTCTGTTATTTTTTAATTATTTCATTTGAAGGAGGATATTTGGCTTCGATTCTTAAATAATCAAAGTCATGCATTCTTTTATTCTTAAAATCTTCTGAAAATTAAAGTCATACCTCATTTTCTGTTTTGGTTATTAAATAATTGAGGCAAAAAAGTGTGCGAAAAATTTTGAAAAATTTTAAAACTTTTTAAAATTTTCAAAATTTTAAAGATATTTCTCATAAATGTTAGAACTCCTTATTTATTTGTGTTAGACATTTTTGTGTCTACTTCATGAAAAAAAATTAAGTTTAAACAGTTTATTTTGATTGAATTATTATGAGAAAATTGGAAGATCGAAGAAGATTGTTGAAAGTTTTTTAGAACTCTTTCGCTTGGCAAGAAGTTATCTTGTCTAACTGACTTGCCTAGTAAAGAACTATGCACTCAATGAGTAGAAATTGTGATGTGACAAGAAAAGCAACCTCTCATCCAAGTTTGGCCAATCTAACAAGAACTTACTTTTCAAGAGATATTAAAAAATTGAGTTTTACACAAAAAGAGAGTTTTTGAAGAAGGAACTTGACCCGAGATCAAGTGAGGTGCAATTGGGAGCTTAAAACCATTTCATCTTCATTCCCACCACTTTCTTTTTATATTTTTTGTACTCCTCCTCCTATGTATGAGTGACTAACTCGCTACACTGAGGTTCTTTAACAAATGTTTTAGAAATGTTAAAATTTAAACATATTTGGAGTACCAAATATATAAAATATATTACAAAAATATTAAAACTTAAAAAAATAGTTCAAATTATATATAAATTTATATAAATATAAAACCATAGAGAAACAAAATGCAGACAAAATGACAAAGACTTTTGAGATAAATATTTTGTGTTGACGTAGAATTTAAAAAAGCTTTTCACACTTCTTTTTAGGTCCCTATAAATTTTTTAGCACCTTTCCTCGTCAATTTTCTAACCCATATAATGGGAGCAGAACTTTGAAATTAAAGCATAGAATAATGAATTATTTATTTTCAAAATGCAAGAGTGTCCCTCCTCCTAGCACACAAAAAATCAAAGAGTCTGCATAGAAAAATTATGAGACCATAAAACAAATATTTTATACTTTATTCTCATTTTTTTGTATAAAAAAATTGTAAATTTAACTTCACACTCAGTTAAAAATAGACAATCAAGGAATTTATCTCAGTTGATCGAAACGTATTTGAAAATAAAATAAAAAGTGTGGAAGAAGAATGTTAGTCTCTGTAGGTTGTTATTGGTTAGCTCCAAAAAAAAAAGACAAAAATTCATTTTTGCGTAGAATTTAAAAAAGTCTTTCACACTTGTTTTTAGGTCTCTCTTAAGTAATTTTTAGCAGCTAAAGTCACGTTGCTCCCGGTCAATTACGTTGATACAAGTTACGTTACTGATTTTGACATGAAAATTCAATTTTATAAATTTAGCATATAAAAATTAAGTTGTTAGATAGATAGAGTAATATAAAATTTAAATGGAGAAGCTCCAGGAAGAAGAAGAAAAAAACTTGAGCCTTTTCTATGTTTCTTCTTTTTTTTAAAAGGAAAATATTACTACAGGTATGTTCTTCTCATATTTGATTTTGATTATCTTATCAACTTATGAAATGATTATGCTGAGATTTATTCTTTTCATTATATTGGATAATTTTATTGATATACAAAATATAAATTAATCTGGCGTTTCTGTATTATGCCTACGAAATTTTCTTTATCACATGTATAATTTGATGTTTTTAAACCTTTTCAAGAAGATAAACCAGTATACATATATAACGTCATTTTAAAACACTCTACATAATATATTTCTAACATAAATAAGATAAATAATCAATCATAGATATATAAGAAAAAAAAGACGAAGTCATAAAAGAAATTTATATTGCATAAGAAAAAATATAATAAATTTAAATACATTATATACAATTTCAATGAATAAGATAATTAGATACTCCTGTACACATGAGTGACACAAAAATGGAACAAAAAATGAAATAGATGAAGATGAAAGTGATTTTTGAACTCTCCACATACCTCTATCCTTCTCTAAGTCTCTATACAAGCTCTCTCTGAAAACAAACTCCCTTTTTCGTTCATAATCTGATTTTTAAACAACTTCTAAAATGTAGCTTTTCGTTGGACAAGACAAAACTCTCATTAGCTAAAAAGATGTTTTTAATGCCATAGTCAATTTCTTCTACTCGCTAACCAAAGTCTTTTCACTGACGAATGAACTTATTGACTAAGTTGAATTTGGTTTTCGTTGAACAAAGACATAAATAAGATTTTTTAACAGACATAAGTGATTACCACACTTATAATTTCTTTTATAAAACATGTTAAATAATATAATATGGTAAAAATAAACATTAACTTGTATTTCGGCAGGATTTAGAACCCTAATCCAAAACATTCAAAGTTGTCTGCTCCGATGTCCAGTTGTGTTGTCTTCTCTCTTCTCCTTGTCCGAGCCGCGGGGGAGGGTGCCTGCAAAAGACACTCTGACGCTTAAGTCAGTGACTTTGCGTAATAATCTTGTAATCAAGATTTAGTTATAAGAGCTCTAAGTTTCAGTTGAAGTTCAAGTTAAAGTTACCTCTCCCCTTTGCCAGACAAATATTTATAAATTATAATGAGCTTACCGCTAGGTCTGACTCATTAACCACCAATGAATGACATATTAATTGTCAATAAATGACAACTATTTTCATTAACTCCCCGACAGTTACTACTATTAATTACCTTAACGGCTGATTTAACCGATCGGTTCACTGACCTGAGAGGTATCATCGGTCGGGCTGATTTTACCGATCGGTTCATTGACTTGAGAGGTATCATCGGTCGGGCTGATTTTACCGATCGGTCGGCTATGAGCCCATAGTAACATAAGCCCCCCAAGCCCTAGCAAAATTTGATATTGCGTTGGGTTTGTAAAGTTATATCGATCGGTAGAGGATTTTACTTGAGTTTCGATTCATGTTAGCATGCGTTCTTTATTTATATCGATCGGTAGACG